TTATATGATACTCTAATTGTAAGGAAGAAAAAGTCGCACTATATTCCGAATGCATTAAATTAAATTTCGACCGTCCTACTTCAAAAACATTTATTCAATGGACCTTTTTTCCTCCCTTTCACTTCTATACACTTTCAATAAACTTCAGTGCAATTAAAAATGTTTATATGGAAGTGAATGGGATAAAAAAGTACACATTTGTTATTCAACTACACAATCATTAAGAGGAGTGGCGGCAGCTGCGAGTGAAAGATCTGACACCGAAGATGACTTTTTGCTCTTTGCCTATCTCTTTCCGCCGAAAAATTAGTTTCCTGTTTTAAACGGTCCGAAAATAATATCATTCATTAGCCGACGAGAGTTGGCCCACCTTCAAGAAGTGGAATGCTAAAGCGTTTCCAATTGAAAGAGACCAAAATTTGGCATCGACCCAGCGGGAAAAAATGACACTACAAAGAGAGAACGTGCAATATTACGTGGGGCGGCTTCTTCTTTGTGTGGATGCGGTTTCTATAATAATTACGGATGGACGAAAATTAATTTTAACTATTTTTTGGTAGGGAGATATCAGGAGATATGATGTCACTTCAAAAAGCATGAAATATATGACTATTTAGAGTTATTTGATGTAACAATTTGTCTAGAAAAAAAGACTAATTATTTCAAATTAATAACAAATTAGTTTCTTTCATTATTCAAAAATTCATAATGCAAATCAGAAGAAAAAGTGCTTGAAAGAAGATACAGTTTATTGTTTTATTTTTCATGGAGCTTAATTATTGTCCAAAATATTTTTTTATCGTGGATTGAATTTAAATTCGGCTTTTCCTCGATGGGTTTTTGTGAGTTTTTATTGTTTAAGAAAAACAATATCCTGCTCTACATGTTTCGGCTGCGGGCTGCAGCCATAATTCATGAGCTGTGAAAAACATTTTGACAAAAATTAGTACAAAATTAAATATTTTTCAAAAATTATTTTTCTTTCAAATTGACAATACATGTAGAGCAGGATATTGTTTTTCTTAAACAATAAAAACTCACAAAAACCCATCGAGGAAAAGCCGAATTTAAATTCAATCCACCATGAATCAACCCTCGATCGTGAACTTCTACTACAATATTTTTTTGTCATCAATTATTTCAAAAGTTCCTGGTCAACAAAATAGTAGCACTCCCAATGATTTTATTTCATATGTGATTAATAATTTCCAAATCGTAGCTTGAAAGAGGTATTCAAACAGCGTTTCTGTTTTTAATGTAATTAAAAATAAAAAAATGAATACCTGAATAACATGGAAAAGTTACTATTTATTTTTTTTTTTGTGGGAAATACATATTTTTTTTTTTTTATGAATTTGAAAGAAAATAAATCAAATGAAAAAAAGATGAAATTTTCTCTTTGAAGAAATCAGGCTTTATAAGAATCTCATCCGCCCTGAAGCTATTTGCGCTGGAGTAGCCGCGGCCAAATATTTGACCTGTACAGGCGACGGGGCATGGGTCAACCCTTTCCTCCGTTGCGAACCTCTCTCTGCCCGGTTGAGCCGCGACTGACGTCACGTGCATCCATCTCATCGTCATGGCAACTCTGCTGCTCTTGGCTTTAATAAATTCGCATATGTACGCGCGCGACACAGAGAGAGAGAGAGAGACACGCAAATATTGTGCCCTTGCAAGTGCTCATTCCGACTCTCTTTTCTCGGGGTGAGTGCCTGGCTTGTTTTGATGTCGCGCCGCGAATAAATGTGTTATCTCACGACACACACACTGATGCGTATCCTTTACATCTCGGCGACAAAACGAATTTGCGCCGTCGGAGTGCTTTCTTTGGATCCAGTTTCAGTTGAAATTCCGACAGGCAGCCTAACAAGTGCTCTTCCTCTCTCTCGGCAACTTAATTTCCAAAAAACAGCACCGGATCAGCGGAAGCTTCGGATTGATGCTCTCGTGGAATTCTCCTGCCTGCTGGCACTCGGCCGACTTTGCAAAATTAGCTCTGATGGCTTTGGCGAATTGAAAAGCTTTTCATCAGCCCCCGAGTGCACCGCTTTTTTCTCCGAAATTTGCAAATTCAATTAGGCGCAGATGAAAGAGAGATCGCTGTGTGTGGGACGCTTTGCGAAATTGGCTGGCAGAAACTTCCAGTTTAAATTAAATTACGCAAATTCAATAAACTTGACGGGTTTTTTTCAACATAGACACCAAAATGGGTGATTTTTAGTAAATTAAAATAAGAAATAACATTCTTGAGAGCTCTTTAAGAACAAGCTAATTTTAATTAGCAAGTACAAAATTCCAGTGGAAAAATTTGAATTTTTATCGAAAAATCAAAATATTTGTAGTTTATTTTTCTTCATTGTTAGCGTTTGATTTCTATCTATCGTTGCATTGATTTTTAGATTTAGCTTGATTGGGCATTACATTCAAAAAGAAATTAAATTTTCTTATCTCTTTTATGATAATTTAATAATTATTTTTATTTTGAAAATTTGTTATACTTCCCAGCACAGAGTTTACAAACTTTTAATACACAGAGCCACTCCAGAAATGTCTCGATCTGAATTAAATAATAAAAAAAATCCTGGTGGATTGAATTTAAATTCGGCTTTTCCTCGATGGGTTTTTGTGAGTTTTTATTGTTTAAGAAAAACAATATCCTGCTCTACATGTTTCGGCTGCGGGCTGCAGCCATAATTCATGAGCTTTCTCGGCGGTGGTCGAGAGAAGACTCACAAAAACCCATCGAGGAAAAGCCGAATTTAAATTCAATCCACCATGAATCAACCCTCGATCGTGAACTTCTACTACAAAAAAAAAAAAAATCCTCCTAATTTTTATTAAAATAACAATTAATTTAATATTTTTCGATATAACAAACTATTTTCATATTATAAAGAGGTTAAAATTTCATTTTATAGGAAATCTTGTAAAAAAAAGTGAAGCCTGCTCTATTTTTTATGACATTTTTTCATGTTCAATGAAAAATAGAGCTTGCAATGGAAACAGTTGGCCGACCACATTATTTACGGACTCAGGAAGCGACGCTTCGCATCAAAATAAACATTTTAGGGAGGGACATTTTTTACAAATCTCTACACGGTCCGTTATTCATTTCACTTTCTCCTGCCGCTTTTAAAGAAAACAAAATTAACCCAAAAAATATGAAAATTCCCCCAGAACATTTTTTGTACGCGCGCATCTCTCTAATTTTATCGCCCAACCAGAGATTTTTCCTCCAACTATAAATATAAAGAAAACGCTCAACTCTTTGAATCAAAGCTACAAATTAGAACGGCTCATTTTTCTCAAGTCGAGCGCAAAAAAGTCGGGATAAGTCACAAAAAAGTGAGAGACCGAAAATAAAAATACGAGCCGACGACACAAACACGGCTTTGAATGAGCCAAGCTCTATCTCTAGCGGCGATGATTTTTTAAGTGGCGCGAAAAAGGGGTTGGCCCTGTTTTCTAGGGGTGGTCGGGGAGGCAGGAAACGGCGCGTCTTTTCCCCATATAGCCGCACATCCGGGGGTCATCCACACTTTGTTTGCTGGCGTTGAATTATTTATGATTGGGTCTCGGCTCGAGCGGCATTAACTATTAAAATAATGACGATAAATATACCAATAACGCATGTGGGCGTCTCGAGAGATTGCGTCTGTGCCACTGGAAACTTTATGGATCTCCTTGTGGAGCAGGCGACGGAGTGCGCGGGGCCGTCGTCAGGGACCGTGAAAATTAATCAAGCGCTAGTAATTGAAGGCAAAGTGCCGGCTTGGCAAATGAAGCAAAATCGCTTTTTGTCTATTGGCTCGTGCATAATTTCTCTGGGGCGGATATTATGTTTTTAATTGGAATTCCGACCATGAGCACCGACAACGACGAAAGCATTCAAATGTATTCAAGAATATTTACTTTTAAAGATTTATATGAGAACTTTGTTGTAGCTGAACAGAAAGACGCAGATGAGAGTATCTATTTATTCTGTTACAAATGGTAGCTATCATAGAAATTATCAATTTAATTTTTTTTAAATGTTTTTGAATTCATTATTCTTGAACAAGACTTACAATTGGACTCAACTTATGTATTTTATAATAATATTAATTATCTAAGCGTGAGGGTAAGTTGTAGTATTAATTTTAATAAAATTTTTTAATTTAAAAATAATATGCAACGGAAATTGCAAGGAAATTGAATATTTGAAACAAAATTATCTGAATATCATATATTTTACTAGAAATTTAAAAATTCTTAGATAATGAAATAATTATAATAATATGTAAAAATATTTAAATAAAAAGTTTAGTAATATTGAATTATTAAAACTATTACTTAAAATTTAAAATTTACATTATTTAAAATTAGTAATTAGTAATGTCTAACATGCGTTTGCCCTTAAATAAATTATCTCGTTATTTTGTTTACAGTTGTTCTGTTATTCAGGCGGGAAAATTTTGACAGAACAGAATGTTTCAGAAACTCGATTAAATCAGAATTAACATTAAACTACATGAAATAATTATGTCAAATTTGCCCAAAATAAAGCAAAGAAATTACTGAAAGAAGAGAAAAATCAACAGTTTATTTTGTATATATTACTTTTTGTACTTTTATTAAATTGTGTTAAGCTTTTTATAAATTCCACCCCCCCCCCCCCCCCATTCTAAATCCTTTTAAATTACTAAACTCTTAAGTAAAAATGCAGTTCTTTATCCTTTTGTAATATTTGTCTAAAAAATAAAATTAATGAAAATAATTTTGCTCATCAACTCAAGTTTGTTTTTTTGCTATAACAAATTTAGGAAATATAGTGATTCCATTTGGGAAGTTTTTCCTAATACTTGGATTTTATTATTTGCAGATGGTATTTCACTGAGTGCCAATCGTCATGAACTTTCATGTATTATTTTAAAGAAAAAGTGTAGCAAAATATTCCATTTTTTTTTTAAAAGTTTAACGTATTTTATAGAAAGAAACAACAATAAAACGAATTGTCCTACCTTTGATCCTGATTTTCTTGCCCTCGGCCGGCTGCTGATGAACTTCAGCCTCGATCGTCGCCCTGCGAAAGCCCTTCAAGGTGCCTGTGGGTCCCTGAACGGAGGCGAGCAATTCCGACTCCCTGAAGGCGCCGCTGATGGAATGCCTTCGGTTGCCGACGCACAACTCGGCGCCCGGCTGGTCGATTCTGCTGCTGGTCGGGGGCACCTTGTAGTGCGACTCTTTGTACTCGTCCAGGGGGATGCTGAAGGTGGTGAGGGGTGAGTGGCCGCAGCGGTAGGGCAGAGGGTTGGACGAGCTGCTGAGACTCCGCAACATGAGAGAGGGTCTGCGGCAATGGGTCGCCTCCAGCATCGCCGGCAGACACACCAGACTCGAAGAGGGGACGTTTGTGTAGGCCATCGCTAGGTTTTGCTACCAGACACGCATACTAATCCCTCCACGCTTCCTAAGGGACACGAAAAAATAACGCATTTTTATTTTGAACAAACTGCATGAATAATTAATTTCAATTTGATATGAAACGACTTGATAGATTATTATTATTTTCAATTTCATTTGTCGTCTGGGCCGAAATCATTAGTAAGCTAGACAAGCGATGGTTTGTTTTATAAATAAATAAATCAAATTCGATTATTATTTCGAGATATGAAATACATATATTTGTTAGGGGGATTTGAGAATAGGGAAGGGCTTATGTTTGGAGTTTGGACCGCCAAGAACGCGTCTCTTGAATACTAAATAATTGTAATACTATTGAATTTTTAGAATGAAAAAAAATTACATTATAGCGATACTAATATAAACTCATTTATTTTAATTAATAATATTATGTTTTAATTTGTAACAATGATAGATTATTTCCAAAATAATCCAATTGGATTATCACAAGAGTAAGATAATAATTTATTAATTTTGTGGAGAAATAAACTTAAATAATAATTTCAAGGAGTTGGGATAGAGAGACTGATAATATGATCATGTTGAATTTAAGTTAAGGATTTAAAATTTTCAATTTATGAATTAAGGCAGCGAATTATCAACAGGGAATATATTTATTAATATTCCTTAATTATAGAGTTTGAGCAAAGAGCAAATATTTATAATATTTATGAAACAACATGCTTATTTTAATTTAATATAATAAATAATTATTTACAAAGCTTGCTTACAAAAATAAAAAAGCAAAAATTTTTATTGTTTTTTTTTTAAAAATATAATATTAAAACGTATAAAATAGAAAGTAAAAAAGTAAATATAATTTGATGATTTTATAATATATAATAATTATAAATATTAATAACATGTACTAACTTTATCCTATTAAATTTTGTATGATCAAATTTTCTTTAAGATGTCATTTTGAAACAAAACAGGACTCATCAAAGATTTTCAAGTTTTTATTCCAGTTTTGGATCAAAATGAATTTTGGATGATATCGAAATTTAAATATAAGATAAAAAAAAATATTTGTGTTACCAAGTCTATTAATTGGCGATTGCTTGCATAGGAAAGAACCGGAGCAAGAGATTGAATTTTTTATAATTTCCATGACAGTTACACACGTACAATGAATAGCCTTAATTGAGGAGCTCCAAGTTTTATATAAAGTTGTTACATTCTGCTGAGAGTATAAAAAATTCTGGTGGCAGAGAATTTATTATTAAATTGAAACTCTTCAGCAATAAAAAAACTGATTATTTTTAATTTGCAATCATTGTTGTTTTTCATTTAAAAAAATTGATCTTTGACCTAAATTTCCACGAATTTCCCTGCACGAGACGTGTGATTGACGATAATTACTCTGCGCAAATGTACGGAGCGCAACATATTGTTTATACAAAACTCGGTACATAAACTCGCGGCCTAATCCCAGAGCTTCCTGTCACAATTTGACAGGAGCGCTCGAAACCACAAACAAACCCCCTACGGAACCAACTCGCACGTCCGCCGCCGCAGCAAAACCAACTAACACATGCATAAAACGTACAAACACTCACCGGCGCAAATTTCTCGTGCGCGTAATTGCAATAAAAGTCAAATTGAATATTCCGATCAGGCGAATCAAACAACGAAGAAGATCGACGGACCGGCAGAGATGCTCACTTCCTGCGTCGCTCCTGGCCGATGCTAATCTTGGACTAAAGCCGCGAGAGTAAACTACGAGTACTACTAGAGAGAGAAGAGCGAGAGGCGGGCGAGGAGCAGAGCCGGGTGCTCCCCACATGTGCATGGCACTTGTGAGAGCTTCCTTTTCTCCCTACCCGTTTTTTCCAGCATACATTGTCACTCGATCCAGAGCTCTTCCTTTTCATTCACAACACGCGGGCACATGCCAACCGGCATTTCCATAGAAAAATAATAAAGGAAGAGAAAAAAAACACCCCTAAGAAAACCAGGGTCGACCAACAATCGCGTTTTGTTCCCTTCGCAGTTGGACGCAAATGGCCCAATTTGTACACTCTTGATGGAGTCCCCGGCTTTTCCAGGACTCAATATATATTTCATTCTTTCAAATCCGTCACGCCGATTTTTACGACGACGTTTATATGAACCTATTACCAAGAAAATACTCTCCAAAAAGAAATGTTTTGTGAAGAAAAATAAGGCTCCTTAATATAGTAAATTTAGTTGGGCATGAGTGATTTTGATTTATTATTATTTCATTTAAATTTACAAATTGTAGGCATGAAAGTTTTTACTCATTTCGGGCAAAATTTTATGAAAGTGGTACAGATGAGCGGTGTTTTAAAGCCGATTTTGGAAAAATAATGAAATCAAGAAATTTGTTTGTCCTGCATGAATAAAATTATAGAATGACTTAAAACTTTTAAATAAAATCAACACCAAAAGATAAACAAGGTGAAATAGAACAAATGAAACAAAAAGAATATTTGCCTATGATTAATTTAATTTGTTTGCTTAATCGATTTTCTTGATAAACTAATATTTTGATGAACCAATTTAAAAACGGAAAATTATGAATAAAAAATCTTCGGGGGAAAGGCAAGAAAATATTACATTTTAATTCAATTCGTTTGTTCTCTTGCCAACAGGTCAAAGGTTCACACGAAAGTCAGCTCTATAGTAAAAAATTAACTCAATAAGCTTAATTTGAAAGCATGTAAATCGACCATTGGATTTTTTGGATTTATCTTGGTTTGTCAAATTAATCTGTCGAAATTGAGAATAATATTTTAATTTTTGACGTTAAGTTTTAAGTGAAACCTTATAAACTATAAATAGTTTAACATTTATTTAAATTAAAATTTGTGCTTTTCCTTAAAAAAAAACTCAATTCCGTGAATTCAAAATTGAATAATACAAATTTAGAAAGTAACATGTTTTAAATTTACAACAAAAGTAAGTGTTTTTCATCACATTTTTTTGCAGCTAGTTTTCGTCTCGTTAATATAAAGCACAAGTCAGCATCCTTAACTTCTTTTATTACATAGAGAGGGAATCTGAGATAATCTCCTTTTCCTTTTAAACTTTGTGGCAGTCTCGGGATTTTCCCTTGATCTGTCAGCGGAGTGTCAAGTAGGCAGAAATTTATGAGCTCCCTCGCGGTTTACCATTTCAAACTGTGGCAAACAGAAAAACAGAGACGCAGAAAAAGCAGGAAATTATTATTATGTATGTTTCCCGAGAGACAAAGATGCACTTTCAGAGCAAATCGTTTGGCAGTTCGAACTTTGTTTACATGCGACATGGTGAAGAAATTTCGCTTGCAAACAAAATATGCTGAGGGACACTCATTTCCTCTCTAGATCATCTTTCGCTTGGGAGCTTCAGATATACATACGGGCGACCTCTAAAATGAAAAAAAAAAAATGATGAAAGGGAACAATGATCACAAGAGCTCAATATTATGCCGAGGGAAGTTTCTTTTCCTCTATCTCAACAAGGGAACGCCATCAATCTTCAGCAGTATAACTGTGAATCAAATTGTTCTATATGCATGATAATTTTTTGTTGTCTGCTCAAATATAGCTTCAAAATTTATACAACTCGTCAAAATGCAAATAAATTTTGTGTCGAAATGAAAATGTTAATAATTAGTGAAAATATGTGGCAAATATTGACATATTAAAATTCTTTCAATTGAATTTCACCTTCATTTTTTTTTTTTTTTTTTTTAGTTATTAAACGTACAAATTTTCTTTCAGTTTTTTTAAACAATTATTTTGATAAATTATTCTCACAGAGGCACAACAATGAATTTAAATAAAAATATCCATAATAAACATTTTATAACCTAAAATGAGCTTGAAAAACTAAATTTTGATTTGAAAAGTAGACAAAAATATGTTCCTAAGCCAAACTGAAAATCGCTGATGTTCCCTAGACAGGCGAGGAGACAAGCAGCGTTTTCTGCGGGTAATTGGACTTTTGAGGTTTTTGCGTCTCTCAGCACAAAGAGCCGCCTTTCATCAGTCGCCGCGAAATTTGATTTAAAAGTGCCTTGATACAAAAACTTGTCTCTCGTTCTTCTCAGACCAAGTGAATTAAAAGAGCAAAAAGTCCGCTTGATGTGAAAGCGGCCGAGGATCGCGCGCGCGCGCGCTTGAAAATAAAAATTTCTCCGCGCCCTTTACTTGCCTTTTTCGCATATCACCATGTGACGTGCTCTCGAGACTGTTAAAGGAATATTATATTATATTATGCCGCCTCAGCGCGTCCATAAATTAAAAGCCCTCTCGCGCATTAGATGACTTTGAACATCTGCACTGTATCAAGAGCGAGCTGCGATTCGCGAATCAGATTGACGAGCCGTAAACAACATTCCAACCGGTTGGTTACTTATAAAGTGACGCTCATTGAAATTAATGCTTTCTTTTAGTGTCAAAAAAGAAAAATAAAGAAAGATTGTATTTTTACCAATTGTTCCTGTCTGTGTAAGTACTTTATAAGTAAAATTTAAATTTAAAAAGAAATTTAAATTTTATAATATATACATTTTTTATGTCTTATAATTTAAAATTTATTTTAATTTAAAATTTTATAATATTTACTTAATTATTTTATGAATAAAAAATAAATTCATTTAATGCTCTTTAATTATTTAAAATAAAATTTTGTATTTTGTGGCTTCAGTTTCATTCTGTGGTAAACGCAAAAATTAAGACTTAAAATTTGTTATATATAATGATTGGACAAAAAAATTGGAATATATAAGAAAGAAAGTTTGAAAATATTATCGCTCAGTGCAATTTGTAATTTGTGTGACTTTTTATTGATAGAGATTCTGAAAGATATATCATTGAAGATAATATAAACTTAAAAACTGTTAGATGATGAAAACAACTTAAATTAAACAATAATAATAATGTTTTTGCCCGCAATCGATATACGCAACAGCAAAATTTAAATTTTTAAAGTTTACAGTAGGTTTAAATAATCTGAATTAAAATTGATACTGGATTAACAGAACAAAAATCTTGAAATGAATGCTTTTTATTTACAAATTTGTCACTAGTAGAGCTTTAAAAAATTTTCTTTCTTTGGGTATGAAAAATATCAGATTTATCAAAGAAGTGAACAAAACTTAAAACTTTATTTTTGAATGGAAAAATAGGCATATTTTTTTTCTTTATTTTTTGAAAGATATAAGCACAGAATTATTGACTTTTTATAAAGCTGAAATATTATAAATGAAAGAGGTATTTTTATACAAAATGTTTGTGTTTTAATCTGCTTTTAGGTGAATTTTTTGTGATGGGATTTTTCTTGAAAGTTGGAGGTAGAATGTAAAATTTCATTTAAAAATAGGTGATCAAATCAGATATGTTTTTTCTTTTGTGAAATAGATGATTTATTATGAAATAGGTAATTCTGGAACTTCAGTTTTATCTTAATCAAGGTATATTTCAGCTTTATTAGTACCTGTCAACGTCAAGCAAACAGGCCTACAAAGGTTTAGAGATCAGACCACCTTGTAATTTTATTTTCCCCATATCCGGACGCTTCGCTTTGATTTAATGATTTATTGCACGGATGCACAATTAAAGTGCTTCTCATCAAGTGCAATTCAAAGTGTCATATTATAAGTAAAGTGCAATCGCCGATTTAATTACTGCAGCCGGCGAGACAATGCCGAGGGATTGCAAGTGCGTTTCGAGCTGGCTGGAGGATAATTGGATTGCGCGCTGGCAGAGCGAGTGAGTGCGCGGGCCCGAGCGTCGGAGCCGAGCGAGCGAGCGAGGCAAAGGACGAACGAGCCAACGACCCACATTCGCCAGCCAAAGGTCCCCGCAGCAGCAACATGCAGAGTTCTGCCGCCTCGGCCATCGACCAGATCCTCAGCTACGAGAAGAGCGAGCACGAAGACTACTACAAAATCCTCGGCGTCGACGAGTCGTCGTCGGTACGAATCGGAGAAAGCAGACCCTTTGTTTGGCTTTAATTTTTTGCTGCTTTCACCTGTTTTCAGGTGGAGCAAATCAGCGCCGAGTACAAGGCCAGGGCCCTCCAGCTGCACCCTGACAAAAACGACGGCGACAAGGAAAGTGAGGCAAAATTCCAGTTACTCAAGGTAAATTATTAAAAATAAAAATTATGCAATTGTTCAAAATTAAAATAATTTCTCTTTGTGATAATTCAAAATTGGTTTCAATCTTAAAGGAAAACAATAATTTGGCTCTAATTCACGAGAAAGTAAAAATATTAAATTTTTTTGAAACCACAATTTACTGCAATTTTATTATTTTGTTGAAACAATTATATTTTGCGCATCGTCGGTTGTTATTTCTGTCGCAACCCACGCAATTTTTGCACAGCTTTATGCCTATTGATTTTCCCCGCCGATGGGAAAACGGAAAATTCTGGACCGGCCGGGCTTCTCTTCTCTTCTCTCTCTAATTTATTATTTAATTTCTGCACCGCGTCCGAGTTTTATGCTTTACATTTATTTCTCGTGTGACCACATTCACTTTCCATCCAACACGTTATACCATTCTATATATTATCAACAAACATTACGTCACGAAAAAGGCATTGGATGTGGGGAGGCCGCCGCAACTTTCATTCCGACTACGGTGAGATAATTCAAGTTCGGGAGCCGCGCGTTGTTTAAAACAGACTCGTTTCTGTGATTCCGGTTTTTCGCACTTTCGCGATGGTTAATGAGACGGAAAAAATGCTGTTTAGATTTTAACTTTCCATTATGGTAGGTTTATCTTGTTCGGAGGAAAAAAATATTAAGTTTCGGATTTCCCCTGTGTCATTTTGGCAGAGGATTTCCTGAATTATTAATCACTATCATACAAAGCAGTCTTCTCTACTTTATTTGAAAGTCGCTTTATATATATAAAAAAACAAGAAGAGATTTTTGTTTAATTTTTTTTTAATTATCATCTTAAAATCACTAATTATAATTTTACACATATATTTATTTGATAATTTTTGATGTAATCAAGTAAAAATTATCACTCGTTTATTTGCTCATCAATCTAAAAATATGAACGTCGCCATAAAAAAATTATATAACAAAAAAAAAACATTTTTGAGCTCTAGAATGTTCTACCAATTACTGAAGCATAAAATAAATTCTGCCTTTTAAACAGATGGAAAAATAACAATTAAAATTCTTGGAAAGGTCTGGGTTGATGTATGAATACAAAATAAAGTATTTTTGGAATGATTTCTAAAACCAGGTTAATCTCCGCTGCATTTGTGCGCCTTGAAATTAAGCAAAGCGCTGATCACTATTCAAAAAATGTTGCATCTCAGATTGACGACAACTTCAGTATTCTCAAACCACGTCAACATAATTATATTTACATTTTGCTCTCAGAAATAAGTTTTACATTCGGCATTTTAATTAATTAAAATTTTAAGTTTATATAAACATTGAAAAAAAATCGCAATTTCACTTTAAATTATAGTTCGCAGTTCGCAACAATTTTATAACTTTAATTGCGACTGATTTGGGTTCAAGAATGTTGTAGTAATTGTAATTAATCAGATCACTTCTCAACAATTAAAATTTACTCTTGATTCTTGTGATTCAGGAACATTTCTTTAAAAAACTAAATTTTCATATTTCTTTAAAAAACTAAATTTTTATATTGAAGCTGAGAATAATTGAAAAAGGAAACAAATTAATTAAAGAAAAAATTTAAAAAAAACTGATTCATACTCAAAGGCATCCCAGCAATTGTGTCATTCTTGATTAAAAAATAATATTTGAAAACTAATTTTTTTTCCTATTTTGCAAAAAAAAAATATACTTTTTTTCTATTTCCTGAACAGCACTTTTCCTGAAAATGTAATTTTTCTAATGTTCCTGATTTACGATATTATTTACAAACGTCGAGCAAACTTCATTCCATTCCGATAATTTTTTGCTCCTGTGCAAACGTTGGCGATGCAAATAAAAATGCTCGGTGGACACGATCGAGCCACTTGGCAGCACTCGATAAGGCAAACTGCCCTTTTTGCCCGGCATATATACACATGGATATGGCTGTTGGCGAACAAAAACATGCTCGTCGAGAGTTCCAATGATATATAATGCCGGGCTCTGGGGAGCGCGTCGCCCTCTCGCATGCCGCGCGAGCCTCGGGGATGTTTGCGATGGATTGATATGGCGGGGCGCAAAACAGAGCCGAAAAAATCAACGCTGATTTCGTGGTCCATTTGATGACGCGATGCTGGGCGGTTTGTTTGTGTGTGTGTGTGCGGCGGGGTTGCCTACCGACCCCGAGAGTGGGAGAGAAATCAATGGCGGGTGGTGCCTGTTGCAGGAGGCGAGGGATGTGCTCAGCGACCCCGAGAAAAGAACCCTCTACGACAAGTGGCGAGGCAGCGGCATCGCCATCAGCTACAAACAGTGGATGAGCATGAAGGACAGCGTCCAGCAGGTAAAAAACGCCTCTGCCCAAAGGTCAAAGGCTAACCTCGTTAATGTAAATGGCGTACATTTTTTTGTTATAAATTCCTAGAATTCGCCAAAACAAATCTGGATTAAATATTTTTATATATTTGATGAGATAAATAACTTTAAAAATACTTTTTTTTCTCTAATTTGATATAAAATACTCTCCAGATTTACAAAAGAAAATAATTTTTCACTGAAATTTAATTTGGTTGGAAAACAATGTTTCTCATTATTTTGACAAATTATAAATAAGTTAAAGGAATCTGATATTTAAATCTTTGTTTTTTTCCTGTTCTTTCTATTATTTGGTTCTTGAAAGCGTGAAATAATATTTTAATTAAAAAGGAAACTTTTTAACTTTGACATTTTATGTACCAAAAAGGCCTTGTATAGAGGCAAATGCTCTTTAATTATTTTCCGCACTTCTCGCAGCTTACAAAGTTTGGAACAAGTTTTCTCTCTCACTTTCCTATTCCATAAATTTTGAGATTTTCAGGATTAATAAACTTGCTTGTTAATTGTTGTTGGCAACTTCTAAAGTACATGAAAGCTTTTAATCATATCGCACATCTGCGTCGGTCGCAAGAGTTGATTAAAACTAAATTTTGAAAATAATGAAAACCTTTTGTGCGATTTGCGGAAGAACTTTAAGAAATTTATTAAAATAAAAATGAATCTAGCAAAATCAAATCAAGATCAAATAAATTTACAAATTATCTTCCAATAATTGAAATATCCTCTTATTAATACTAATAGTTTCAAGAGATAATACGGATGAAAATATCCTCCAAGATTTTAAAATTTTCAATCTCATCAAAGTTTTTTGATAACTATTATTTTTACTTTTCAAGTAAAGGAAGCAATCAATAGTGATAAAACGTTACAAATCACCTTTAAGAATTCAAAATAAACAATTCTGCTACAAATTTACACGTTTTTGCTTCAGTAAATAATACTTTTTAAATTCCATAATATTATAGATTAATTAATTTATTTTTTCTTTCAATTACTTCACTATCAGAAATCTTAATTTTTTTACCTAATTAAAACTCATCCTGGATGATTTCAGTCAATGCACTGGAGCGTCCCGAAGACCAAAGACCGGATGCTGGAGGAGGGCAGCAGCAGCAGCGGCGGCGGCGGCGTGGCGGCCGTGGCGCGCGAGGAAAAGCGCCGCGCGTCCGAGGGCGGCCCCAACATTCGCTGGGGCGTCAAGGGCTCCGTTCCGTGGAAGTCCGAGTCGCCGACAGAAGTGGTCAGCAAGTTCCGCAACTACGAAATCTAAAGCGGATTCGCGTAAATCTCTTCTCGGAAAGAAGAAAGTAATTTAAAATAAATAAATAATCGGTGTCAATAAATGTCCCTGTCGGATTCAGGCGCGTGTGCCCCTCGGTGTTTCAACCCCTTTATAACTCAAAATCACACACTTAATCTTGATCAGAGGGAGAAATAAAGCAAAAGACGGAAGATCGGAAGTTCCTTGGATTGAAAACAATTATTTAATTAGAAGGAGTCTTCTGCGGTCGGCGGCCGAGCCTCTTTAATATATTTGGGCGCAAACGCATCACTAGGGTCAACTCAAGACTGAAAGGACTGACGGAGAGAACGCGACGAGAGATGATGAGAATTGCATTGATCGAGTCCGCACTTTTACTTCCATACAAAAAATATGAAAAAAAAAATGCTCTCCTATACTTAGCGGTTAGATTTACACGCTCGAGATTTTTGACATTTGTGTGTGACCAATAATTGATGTGTTATAAAAATATATTATACAAAAAAAATTATATATGAACCTATTTACACCTTCAAACAACACAAGTGATCAAAATATAAAAATCTGGGTATAGCACGATTCAGCACAAAATGCTCAAGATAAATTCGCAACTTATATATTTGAAAATTAAAAATTCCTTCTAAGAATTTTGCCAAATTTTACCCAGTTTGTTAATTTGCTTCTATGTCTTCAGTATTTACAAATTTTTCTCCATATTCTCCCCTTTTGCAATTACATGAACTGAGATGTACTAAAAATAAAACATTCTAGCTGATGAAATGATATAAAACCTATATTTTTGCATCCTGTATCTTTAAAAGACCAAAATTCCACGTCCATCCTGGTCCATCTCCTATTACTGCGCTCACTGTGTTCAAAATCCATTTGTCAGATATTTTAATAATGTTCATTTCATGTTCGAAAATCAAATCTCATTTCCAACACTTTTTTAATCAAATTAAGTCTCATTGTGTGTCACCATACTATATTTATTATCAATGGATTGTTGTTTCACAGACCTGATGTTATAATAAATTAAGAGAAGGAAAATAAAATATGAAAATGATTGAAAAAAATTGTTTTAATCAAATACACAGAAAATCCGGTGCTCTTTAGATCGGATTGAATTTCATCACTGATCAATAATCAGCATGAAATTATTTAACTACATAAAAGATTAATAATAAAAAGGATAAAATAAAGAAGGATGCAGTGGACCACTGAATAGCAATTAGAAAATGAATAGTTTTTAAGTTAAGGTTTAATTGGTAAATTCTTCTGTGAAATAATTCAAAACCTTATTGACTTCTAGGAATTTTAATATAAAAATTGCTTTTATAATTGAATGAATGAATGATTTGATGGTTACATTTGAGTTTGCACTAAAATAAAGAAGTCCAGAATATTCAATGTTAAGAGAACTTTTTATTTCTAGTTAAATTACAAGGAAATAAATTATAGGAAATCATCTAAACATCACAGAAAGAATGTCTATAGTCATACAGAATAATTTCAGTGTGTGCAGTGATATTTCCTCATGTTTTCAGAAGCTATTAAGAACGATCCTTCAAATTGAGCTTGTGCACTGCTTTTGCTGCACTATTATAGTGCGAGACAACGAATTCCATCAGCCCAAACTGATCAAATCACAGTCAGCGACTTCCAGCATCAGAGCAACTACAGTTTTACTCAATTCAAAACAACTCTTTTTTTCAATTTGCGTCACTCAAAATTTGACTCACAGCCAAAATTCAAGTTCACGAGTGAAGAACAATAGCAAATATGATGAAACATTGATCAATATGAAGGAAACTCTTGCAACCCATTTGGGATTGCGGTTCCACACAATTCTTTTGCAATCTTAGTGTAATTATATATTTATAATAATGTGATTTTTGTGACTTTTGGATCATGATTTTCACTCAAACTGAAATATTTTTTTTATGTATTCAGTGACCTTGTTGATTTGGTTCTAAAGATATGCCGTTTGTTCTGCTTCTTTTGCAATCGGATTCACGAAATTGACAACTATAGGCATACAAATTTTGCTAGCTGCCGCCTATTACAACATCTTCGGAGGAGTTCGACTGATTATTAACTCCTGGTTAAATTCTCAGCAGTCTATCCGACACTTGAAAGCACACTCAGCGCTCCTGTACTTATATCAACTAGAGGAATTATTATTTTTTTTTCAGTTGTTTCCTAAATTTGCCTTCTGCTATAAAACAACAACTTTCTACACATGCTTCTACTTTGGGATTCATAGGAGCTTTCGATCAATTTTGCAGATTTTCCACTTTAAAGTACATTGCAATCCAATTATGCACCAAGAATATCTCATGAAAACTCCCGTCGGGTGCAATCACAGTACAACCATTCTGTAGAGAGTCGTTCTCAAAAACACAGCAGCAGACGCAGTTCATTATACACAAACTTTGGACCAGGTTCAATTAAAAAAGTATACAACAGCAAATTAACGAATGCTAGAACAAACGCCTGGTCCATCCCTTTGCATTTAATTATACAACATTTTAGAATAGCAATAGGACTAAGAATCTTAAACCATTAATTAACTATGCGTTAGGCAAGCTTACTTAACATTTTCATCCGTTAGAAGAAATTTATTTAGCTTTCAACACAATCAGAATGTTTTGGTTTTCATCTCACTTTCATTTTAGTTTCGAATGATTAATGATTTAACAAGAGGCAAATTGTGCAATAAGAGAACAAAAACTAAAGCAACACCCCTTAGGGAGATCCGGGAAATAAAATCAACTTTTCGAAAACCAACCTTGTGCTCAGAGCATTTCACAACTGTTCGACCACAAGGACGGAGTGGTTCAAATCTATTTTTTGTAAAATTCTCATTTCATTCCAAGACCCTGTTTTCAAAAATTTATCTTCAAGTCTTGCCTATACGAGATTTCAAATCGGAGAGATCTTCAGTGTCGACGTCCCAAGAAATGAATTAACACATTGATATTTTTGTCAAGAAACAGTGATCCAAGCAACAAGAAAACGTTTTATATCCTTAGGTTGAGGGGGCCGCAACGCCCATTTGACTGCAGTAGGCTTGATAGTAAGCCTGGTAGAAATTGTCGGTTGGTGGCGGGGGTGGGGGTTGGGATGTGAGGGCCTTGATGGCGGCCGCGGTCGAGGCAGGGGGCGGTGGGACGGCCGTCTCCACCTTCTGGCTGTGGTACCCGTATCCGTTGGACGCGGGAATCGCTTTGGTCTCGTAGCCGTTCAGGGGAGGGGGAGGGACGTTGAAGTTGTTCTGGAGGTGTTTCGGGGGGCCGTGGGAGTAGCCGTTCTGGGGCTGGTCCCAGCGGCCACCGCTGGAGGCACTGCTGCCGCCGCCCATGCTGGAGCCGTTGTACTGGCCGTTGTGACGGGGGTGGCCGCCTCCGTTCTTCATGTCCCGACCGTTGCTGTAGCCGTTCGAGTTGTTCCATCGAGGCCGATCTACATGAAAAGTTGAATTTTTTAGAATTCTTTGAAAGAATAATAAAAATTTTCAGATGATTAGAAAAAAGGCAGAATAAATTATGTACTATTTTATTTAATAAATAATAAGCTTAGCAAAGTAAACAGTTATTTAGAAATTTTGTTTAAATGTGGAGGCTACAAAAATGAGGTTCATCTTTGGCATTGTGAAAGAAAGTATGTAAGTGTGGCTTTATCAAATTGAAGTCCACGAGGCACTAAAATCAGCGCCAACAATGAAGCTTACTTTGTAGCCTCTGTAAGTGGTGCAAACTATTTAAATATTTTCAATTACTAATTTTAAAAATGAGTTTTCTAAATTCTTATTTCATTGATTTTAAAGTTTCTTGAATTCAACAAATTCCTCGCAATTTTGAAATTTTTTAATATTAATTTAAAAAATATAACAAAAAACTAAAATAAACTAATAAAAATGTATGAAAATTTAAATCTTTGCTAAATTTGAGCTTCAATTTCTTTTCCCTCTTTAAATTTAATAACAATTGATATAATTTATTTACTTTTGCCATTAGCACCGCCTCCGTATGAGCCCCTGGAGTTTGCCAGCTCGAGCAGCTTTGGGTTGACCACCTGGTTTGCCTCTCGGAGAACAGACACCAAGTCCTTGGCCTGCCGAGCGTTGTTGGGAGTGAAGAAGGCGTACGATGTGCCGCTCTGGCAAGACCGTCCAGTTCGTCCAATGCGATGAATGTAGTCCTCAGACGAGTTCGGGTAGTCAAAGTTGATGACAAATTTGACATCTTCAACATCTGTTGGACAAATCATTAGGAACGGACGCCTCAGATTCAAACTCTCTTCATCCATGCACGCATGCAATTATTACAACAGAGCAGGGGAAAATTGTTGATTCATTTCGAGAAAAAAATTATAACTTGTTAATATAATTGAGAGTCAACAATTTTGCACAACTCTTGAATAGCAATTTTCGTTTGATATATAGAATATAATAATAATTATTGGTGAGCTGAAAGTAGCACATGATCAAATTTGATTTATATGGTTCTTTTAGTGAACTTTGAATGAGGAAGCAGCATAAAATGACATTAAAAGTAGAAAACAAAACATGTTTGTATAGATTATTGTTGTATAATAATAATAATAATAATAATAATATTTAACATAGTGTACGGACTATAAATAGAAAAGGTTCGCTCTTCAGCAAGACTTACCTTTAAACAAGTGCAGCCTTGCTTGCTATTGTGTACAAAATGCGAAAAGAAAAATAACTTATGCGAACCAAGTCCGACACACACACTGGCCAAGAGAGAGATAGAGAGATGCCCCTCACACTAGAAGAGGCAATGCCCAATGAAGCAGCGTGATTGCGGCTCCGAGCCTAACAAATTCACACGGCAACCATCAGACACCTGCCTCTGGAAAAAACAATGCAAAAATGAACTTGGCACCAGACTGAGAGGTTTGGTAACTTCGCTATCCTACCATCATGCTATCAGTCTGGAACCCCTTCGAGTGCTACCTTCTCACCCAACAGCAGTCTCAATCATACTCCACTGACCTAAGCCACGAGCTGCGACATCGGTGGCCACGAGAATTGGGCAGCGGCCATTTCTGAACTCTGCAAATGACAAATTTTAACCAGAGTCAATAAGGACGGACGAAACATTTTCAAAAGCAAGAACGAGAAAGTTTTTATCTTGTATACTTCTCTATAATTATATTTTTTTTTCATATTCCCCTAAATTATATAAAGATTAATTCCAGGAGATTGTCCGAGGCATACCTTTGAGAACATGGTCGCGCTCAGGCTGAGATTTGTCCCCGTGGATGGCAACTGCGGGCCAACTGAAAAAAATTACAAGTTAGAGCCTATAAATCTTTTGAATTTCTTTTAACCCACCCTTCTCGCTTGATGTTCCTTGTAATTTCCTCAACCTTGCGCTTGGTCTCAACAAAGATGATGGTCTTGTTATCACTCTCGGCTCCTACCTCTTGCAGAAGTTTGCTAAGCCTAAAATGGGCCATTTAGAATTTAATGACCCAAATCGTTTGAAATCAAATTACTTGAATTGCTTTTCATGCTCCATGCAGACGTCCACAATTTGCAAAATGTTGTGGTTGGCTGACAGCTGAAGCGAGCCAATGTTGATTTGGATGTAATCAGTCAAGAATTCTTCGGCTAGGTTTTTCACCTCTTTCGGCCACGTCGCAGACCACATCAGAGTCTGCCTGTCCGGCTGTTAGAACAAAACAAAAGTTAAGTACCAAAGACAATTTACATTAATTTGTGAAACAATGAGAGTAATAAAATGAAAATTTCATAACTCTTAACCAAAAAACAAAATAAATTAAGGAAATTTTATTCTTTTAATTTTAGAAATTTGGGAAAATAATTTTAAATTGTGATTTACTATGTTAATTTCTTTCTCAGCATTTCCTTCCCATAATGAGTCCCAACATGGATTTATGTAAATATACAAAAAAAGAAAAAATCAATTCTCACCCTAATTTGTTCCACAATTTTCCTGATCTGCGGCTCGAAACCCATGTCCAGCATGCGGTCAGCCTCGTCCAGAACCAGGTAGGTGCATCGCCTGAGGTTGGTGGTGCCCCTTTCCAAAAAGTCTATCAGCCTGCCTGGGGTGGCGATGACAATTTCGACGCCCCTCTCCAGATCCCTGGCCTGGGGGCCTTTCGGGGCGCCGCCGAAGATGCAAGTGTTGCGGATGAAAGTGGAGGTGCCAAAGTCGTTGGCCACTTGCTGGATCTGCTGGGCCAATTCTCGCGTGGGCGCCAAGACCAGGGCAATGGGTCCGTCGCCCTTGCCGAGGGGCTGCTGGTTGTTGATGTGCACCACCGAGGGCAGCATGTAAGCCAAGGTCTTGCCGGAGCCGGTCATCGCAATGCCCACCATGTCCCTGCCGCTGAGGGCGATCGGCCAACCCTGAGACTGGATGGAGGTTGGCTCGTTGAAGCCTTGCTTCCTGAAATTTGCATAAAATCAATTATTACAAGGAATAATTCACGAAATGGGTGTTTTTGGAACTAAACGGACTGGTAAACTTATCGGCCTTGAATGAGATTGTTTGAATCTGACAAAAAATGAAATTATTTTAAAATGGGAGATAAAATTCTTAATAGAAATCTGAGCTGGCGGCCATTTTTAAATGCCTAGCGTGTTCAGGAGGATAAGGAAAAATGTTGATTTATAAAAGATTTCGACCAAAGAAATTAACAAAATTCGTTGAGAAGAAGACTAATTGAATATAAATTTAGAATTTGATCAATTTAATAGGTTTTTGATTATAATCCATGAAAACGTACTTGATCTCGTTGATGATGTAGTCGGGGAAGTTGCATTCCTCGAACTGTTGCAAAGGGTTGGGGACCGTGGTGCCCTTGACGGTGATCTCCTTGCCTCCTCGATAGGCCTCCACCTCCATGCGAGACCTGCTGGCCACATTCGCGTGAGGGACGTAGAAGTTCTTCGAGAACGGCTGCAGCGATTTCAAATTCCAGACTGGCTTGCGAAGTCCCTCGCCCGGGTTTCGGCCCGTCTTGTTGTTGCGGCCGAAATCTCCTCTGCCTCCGCCGAAACTGTTGCCGCCGCCGAAACTTCCTCCTCCACCGCCGTAGCTCCTTCGTTCCTCGAATCGATTGTTGTTGCTACGCTTCATGTTATCTCCAGGTCGGCTGTTGTTGCGAAACCTGCGATATGATTGACGGGGGCGTCATGAAAATCGTGGGCAAAAATGCGACCGAAAATGGAAAATTTTACTTACATGGTGGATAAGGGTTGCGTGGAAAATCTGGAGGTCTGGATGTTATAAGTGGAACGCTCTGAAAAACGCAAATAAATTTGTGTCAATCAAAATGAGAGAGTAACACGTCTCCAGCAGCCCAAGGTTCACCACGTTTTTTTCAAAATTCTCGCCAAAATCGAGTCGGATTTTGGCGAATTTCAGTAAATTGCATTATTTAGAATGTCAGAAGAAAAAATTCAAACGTTGGAAACCCCAAAATCCACCCTAATTAATTGAAAATAGGTAAATTAAATTCAAGAACGAGCTTACCCTTGTCCCACAATATGGCGGAAAGAAAACAAGTGAAGCGCGAACTGCGCACTCTGGCAGCGCGAAGAGAAAGCAGCAGCTCGACGTCACTTGTATGATGTACATTGCAATTCAAGACCACTTTTGCAATCGCTGCAGATTTTTTTTTGCAGGAATCGTTCCACTTTAAACTATGTACAGTTAAGTTCCTCTCTCGGATGATTGAAAAGGACGAAAAATAGTTGTACATATCCATACTTTCTAGCCTGGTCAGCGTTTGGTGTTCAACGTTTATAATGGATTGGATTTAATTTGCATAAAATATATTAAAAAAAACAATGTTAATTAAATTATATAAATTTCTTTGCTTTAACAACTTAAATAAAAAGCTAGGAAATTTGAAAATATTACATAATCAAATAGCTGTGAAAAATACCGAACTGTAGGCTTCCATAAAATTTTTAAAATATACCAGAGAAGAAATGAATTTATCGGAATTTATTATTTTAGAATTAAATTTTTGCCTTTATGCAATGGAAAATTTCTTCATCTTCTCATTATGAATTCCACTTTTTTTTTAAAAAAAAAGTTTATTTTAATAATCTTTAATAGTTAATTTTTTTACAAAATTTTATATGTTCCATTGAAATAATAAATATCTACCACTTTTTCTCTTGTATTATTCTTTTACTTTTTACGAAGAAAGGCTTAATTTGAAGCAAGAAATTTGCAACTTTTTGACATTTATCCAATAAATTAATCACTATTGCTATTTATCATAACTTTATACGGTGTGAATATGAAGGAATTGTGTTTCATTAGTTTTCGATAATAATTTTTTTTAAATTTATAAATCAAATACTAAGAATCTGGAAAATAATTAAATCTCGAATTTTTAATAATGAATGAAAAATACCGTACATTTTAATGTTAGGCTTTCATTTTTTTAAGACAATTACAGAAAATTATTGGAAAATTAAATTTCCTGGCAATAATTTACTCTCTATATTAAAATGCTAAATTTTATTCTTCTCATTGAATATTGTATCTTTTTTTTTAATAAATTATTGAATTTATTCATCAATAAAAAAAAATCAAAATTTTTTAATTTCTACGATAATTTTTTCTTGTATTTTGAAAATTTGGTTTTGTGCGGTTTTGTGAAGGAAGGTTTGAAGAAAGAAAAGACAACTTCTTGACTTAGATGCAATTTATTAATCACTTTATCATAACTATTAATACGGCGTGTGTGCATTTGAAGAAATTGCGTTTCAATTTTTGTTTCAATTTTTTTTTTTTTTTGTATGTAATCAACTGGTGGCATATATAGTAAGTGTGTGTATGTGTGTGTGTTTCAAGTAGTTCTCAGTATCCAAAATGACAATTGCACTTCATTCATAAAACACAACGAAAACGGAGTAAAAGATCCACATGTCCCATCATCGTGTGTCATGTTTTCTCCAATCAAAGCGAGCCATATCAGCCAACATACATCTTCTCAGCATATATATTTATTACGTACGATTGCGAGCAACATAATTAATTTTAGTTGAAAACCGCGGACATACAATGAACGTATTTTAAGAGTAGGATTCAATCAATTGTTGAAGGGGAGAAATCGTACATTCACATCACCTCGATTTGCTTTGTATCTCAAAATATAACAACGACGTGTTTTGTTCGAAGGGCAAACAAGACCTCGTAGGTCATCAATTAAAATGTCAATAAATTAAAAAAAAAGAGCTGCCATAAAACTATTACTAAAGATTTCCAGCTTTTCAAATTAAAAATCGTTTGCTCGTCAAGATGAAAAGGATGCAAATGTTTAAAAGAAACTTTCGACTAGCGAAAAGCAATTAATCAATTTTTACGCTCTAATTAAGTAAGAACAGTAAGTCAAAATCGCAACTACATATGAAAGGGGGGTGCTTTGTACTTGAATCGCCTTCTTATGAAGATTTTTCTCACCTATTTCAAGTTAAAAATGGCTCCGGCAGAGTAATATAATAATATATTAGTTAAATAATAATTAAAAAAAAAACGTGTATAGCATTTGTGTGTAAAAGTGAACAAAAATAATAACAATGATGGCAAATATATTCCTGAAAGTTATTGAAACCAGCGTGGATGTGTAAAATCAGTATAATCTCTAGTTGTTTTAAAATTATATAAAAAAAAATGATCTAATTAAGGCAAATCTATTTATGTTTTCTCGATTCTGACGCTCAACTGAATAATTATAATTGCACAACTTAGGCCTATTTATTTATCTCTCTCTGTGAAAACATTTTACTCTCGGTCTGCTTTTTTAAAAGTCTATGTCAATATTGAATGATTGTACTTCTACTCTGGGGTGGTTTTATTACCTACTAGGAATTAATTGATTCGCGAGTGAAGTGCGGTATTGATACATAATTTGGGTAACTTTTTAGTGGAAGAGAATTCATTGGCGTAACGAGAAGCAATTATTAGATAACCCAGCATTTTTTGTTGTATTCTCCGAAATTCCTCTCAAAGTTTGAGTAAATTCCCGATTCATCGCAACTTCACACGTGGTGGTAACTAATTATTTCAAAACTTGAAAGTTCGTAAAAACTGTTTTCTTTTTCATAGTATCAAGAAGAGAAGTCCAGAGAGAACCTCTTTTGCTTTTACTCTTCTCTGGAGGAAAAAGTAGTGCACGGGGATTAGGGATTGAGCTGTTTTTTGCATCTCTTCTCCTTCTCGATTTTTCCGAAACATTGCATTTTCCAGCATTCCAGTACAGTAATTGCAACACTTATTGACAACATACATCGTTTTTCATAAATTCATGCTACCAATTGCATCTAATGTAACATTATCATGTCATGTTTTGTAATCAGTGTATAATAATAATAATTGTATTTTTTGCTTCTTTTTGTCACTTTTTTAAATATTTTGTAATATATACGCTTTTCATAGAAATCATCACACCGTCATCAACGAGCCGTTCAAACCCATTCACATCTCTTTCTTTTCCACACCGTCCGCAAGTAGGCAAGTTTTACATTTCCTTGTAATAATTAATTATATATTAACAGAGTTTTTCGCCTTTTTAACACAAATCGATGCCGAGTACAATTTTCACAAATTTTACATACTTTATGTGTGTGTACCATTTTAAATATTATAAAACAACATAATTTAAGCAATATACAGTATTTTGTTTTCCATGAAACCAGCTCAATGAAATTAGCAATTTTTTTAACCAATTTAATTTTTTTTAATCGTTTCCCCTTTTTTGAAAATGTTGCATCAAACCTACGGAGATTAATACTAGAGAAGCTGCAGTGTGAAGATGAGTAATTGATTTTGCTTTGATTCCTAGGAACCGCGCACTGGTTCCGCCGCCTACTTGTAATTATGCAATTATTATTTCCTTGAGCCATAAAAGTGATTTTAAGGCATTGATCCGCAGCTACTGAAATCTTCTCCCGGTGCAAGCATTTTTTTGTCCACTACATTTAGTTCCCCTAATTCCGGTTATTCTTGTGACCGAAGCAGCAATTTCAGTTAATTTTACGCTATAAAAAAAAAACCAATTGGAAAGAGATTAATTTTTAATAATCAATTTGATTTTACTCGCGCTTAGTTTTTTTCCATCTTTCAGCCACATTTAATTAATACGTGTACAGCACAACAATTGTGATTCAAGCTCATTATTCTTTTTTGGATTCTCGTCGTCATATTATAAATCTCTCAATTTATATACGTAAGCAACATCAAATTGTTTTTTTCTTTCACATTAACAGATTTCAGTTTTTTACAATCAACGATCAACGGTCTGTGAATCACAGAAGTTGTGTCATGCAATATATTGTTTCGATTCCAACTCTAATTGTAAGCACCGGATTCGCGGCGGATTTAATTCTCTTCACAAACGCCCATCCCGCATTCCCTGGCTAATTGAACTATACATCCCAATAAGAGGGTAACAGCAGAAAGGGTTCAACAATAATTATCCCGTGGAAGGTGAAAAGGGTAGAGGCTCTGCGCAGTGAGAGCGACTTTCAAGAAGTATTGCTCAAATTGGCTCAAATATATTTTCCTTTGGACTTGTTTGGAGCAGCAGCAGATTAATTTTTTCTCAGCCTAATCAACATTAAATGCGCTTTTATAATTTTACATTTTTCGCGTATAAATATTTACACTTGCAACAAGTTCTTGCTCAGTAAAAACTATGACACTTTTCGAGTGTGTGTGTGTTTATTAAATTTGTTGTATTCGAGGGTGTTGTTTTTTTTTATTCTTTCAAATTTGCTTTTTAAGAAGTGTGGGCTTGCTTTGTCTAGATTTTAAAATCGTCGCCAGTGTGTTTATTTCTTCTCAGCGAAGAGACTATTATTTTAATATATTATGGATTCTCTCTCTCATCATCTCTTTACAATATATAGGTACGGTAATTTAATTATTCATTAACCGCGCGTATAATGTATGCTTGTAATGTAATGCGTGTATGCGTACGTAGCAGGAGTCAAATATTCTCATCATATCATCTGTAAATTATCAGGTACTGTATTGGAGGACAAAGACATTATGCAATTAAAATATTCCTCTTCGTCACAATAACACTGTATAGAAAAGGGTTGATGAAGGAAAAATTAAATATAAAAAAATTTACCAAATTACAATAAACGCTCGGGTCATAATTAGTGAAAGAAGTTAAATAATATTAATAATAACTACCTGTTCACAATAGCCTTGAACAATTTTCAAAGACTTCCAACAAAAATATATATTTATATTTGTCCGAGTAAGTAAAATTGTATTTACAAGAAACAGTGCTCGCGATAGCACTTGCAAAAACAATTAAAACAAAAGAGTACAGCGAGGAGAAGAAACATTTAAACGAGGGCTGAATCGTGACGCGGGGGAACGATCTGCTGAAAATCTGTTCAGTCAAAAATTATTACTGGTTATATATTCAGACAAGGCCTGCAAACTTCCCTGACTTTTACTGAGAGAGATATACAACTTTCGTGATCCAAACTGCTAAACTGTGGTGCTTGTCAAACATTTCTTGGAATTTCAAATCCTCCGAAACATGCAGCATTTGATTTTTCCCTCGACGGTACTTTTCTAGAATTTGGTATTTTTGCCTGTTATGCTGTCTTTCGCATATCATCGTCAAAACTGTTTGGCAGTGACAAACTGGCTTTTCATCTGTTACATCATTTCTTTTTCAGTTAAAAAGAAACCCTGAGAGCTCATTTGTATTATCTCCTTGTCGCAATATAAAGAGCTGCCAGAATAAATTTTTGGCTATTTACAAACGTGTTTTTATCTTTTTTACTTGAAATTACTTCTTACTTTGTCTAGTGTCAAAATACTGCCGTAAAGTCTTTTAAAAACTGTTCATCGTGCAACTCAAGAGGCTTTCCTTTCTTTTGTCATATTTTTTCTTTTGGTTTCTCCCGCACTGACGGCAACATTCTACTTTCTTCAGTAAACAGATAAAATTAGTTTTTCAATCAGTCAGGTTATAACAGCAGCAGAATGTTGGCACATTAGAGTTACTAAAAAAACATTTCAAAGTCTATTTAAACACCCAAGTCTGTCTCCGACCCCAAAATCACATCATCAGTCGTTTCTTTTTTGTTATGCTTTCTGTGAATTTTAGGGTTTAAGTCAAAATGGGGCCAGTTCAAAAAGCTAGATTTCCTTGGTACACAAGGGTGTCAACTGTGTGAGTGTCTCTCTTTCGGAATTAGCGTTTTATCATGATGCCTGAGTGAATCGTTTACGTAAAAACCAACAGTGTGAGTGAGATTCAGTGTCCAGAATCTCAGTCAATAGCGTTTCTGTCTGCTCTGCTAAGTTTTCCCTTTTCAATTTTTTTGTTTAACACATTCTTCTTGTTTTCGTAACTGCGCGATAAAACTCTTATATTATACATTTGAAAGGACAGTGGATTATAATGGTAGTTAATTACATATTTACACTATGTACACATCGAAGAAACATTCGCGAGTCCTATTCTTAAAATCTGGTTGTGCATCTTGTGAGAAAAACCTATCCCCTCTGTCATCACCGTAGGAAGAGTAACAAAATCGGTAATTTAAGATTGCGATAACCCTTTTCTTCTTAATTAAATTATCTTCTTTCTTTTCTTCTTCATCTTCTTTGTCACAGCACAATTCAAAAAGAAAACAGGAGTTCAAATTAAACAGTAGTTTGTACTATCCCAAGAGAGAAATAAGAGAGTGCAGCTTTAGTAGCAGTTTGATCGGCCAAACCAGCGTCTGAGCCGCGTGAGCTGGACGCTCGAAAGAGTTCAATCCACGTTCAACGGCTCCTTCTTCACAATGGCTGACGAAGAAGTGATGACTGATGTGGCTGGCGACGTCCGCTGTGGCGAACCGTTTTGCAAGATGTGGGGGTGCTGGACGACAACGTGATGTTCCCGGGCAGTCCGAAGGCGGTCAAGACTCATTGCAGCAATTTCCTAAAATGCGAATACAAATTTAATTAAAATTTAATTACTATTAAGAGCGTTTTGTAAATTTTGGTGTCGTCAAAGGAGCATGAATTTGAATGAAAAACAAATAAAGAATGAAAAACAATCGGATAATAAATTTTTATTTTTTAAATTCATTTCAATCCATTTTCTTTTAGCAATTTGAATTACTTTCTATTTAATCGTTCTAAATTAACACTTGAACTAAAAAAATTAAAATAATTGAGCTTTTGTAACCGTAATCAAATAAATTAAATTCATAAATAATATAAAATGTTAAAATCGATTAAAATTAATGATTTATGAACAAAAAGAGTTTTTAAAATATTCTTTATTCCCTATTTATTTAATATTTCTTAAATTTTCAAGAAATATTAAAAAAAGGAAGTTTAGAGTTGAAACATTAAAAAAATTAAACGACAATTGACTCCAATTTTTAAGTATAAGAATTTTTTTTAAATATTTATAAAAAAACATTTATTTGCTAAAAAACTGAGGGAACAAACCTTATCGTGCTGAGCCCGCTCCTCACACAATCTGGCCTCGAGCTGCTCCACCCTGTCCTTCATGAGTTGGAACTCGGTGGCCAGCGCCTTATGCGCCTCCCTTGTGGCGATCAGGCTGGCACTGAGGGTGTTGAGGGCGGCCTCGCCCTGCCGCCTCGTGTCACCCTCCGTCTCCTGGACGCAGCGCACCAGTCTGCTCAGCAGCTCTGGCGTCTCGTCCTCGACGCCGTTGGCCGAGTTGCTGTCCTCGGTGTCCGTCGAGAGCTCGATCTCGGGGTTGTACAAATGGACAGGTGCTGTGGTCGACGAAGGCCGCTGCACGGGCTCCTGCTTCGGCTCCTTGCCCAGCGACGCGCTCACTTCTTTTCTCACCTGCTGAAGTTATTTTCATTCGATTAATAACTAGTTGTAGAAAAAAACAAAAGAAGTCAATTAAGATCTAAAAATAAAGTGGTAAAAAAGCTCTTAAGAGCAGCCTTGACCAACAAGTCTTTCTTTCTTTATAGATATAATTGTAATTGCTGGTGATTTTTTCTTTTCAATTCTCTACGCGGTCGGCACATTAATTACCTGCGCAGATGACCTCTGCAATGACTGGGACAATGGCGCCAGAGCCACGTTTGGCTGCGACTCGAACCGATCAGACTCTGAAAAAGGCACAACCCTGTTGGGATTCATCAGAATCGGCGGTGCGTGACTCAAGAACGATAAGGTCATCCTGGAAGAGAGAAAATAGATTGGTATCAACGACAATTCATGTAGCAATATAATTTCCGATAATTTATTTCTCAAGGAATGCCATCGCTTATCTATCTGTGTGTATAATATTGAATTTATCACGAATCCGAGGAATAAAAACGAATGAAAATTTATGAAACCAAATATATTGAGATAATTGTCAAAAACATTTAAACGACAGAGAAAATATTGATATTCGTGCTCATCGAAACTAAATTATCGTCTGGGGATTAATGAATTGAAAACTGACAACTGCCGTTTGGGGACTAAAAATAACAGAATGAATCGATTTTCAAATCCATGTTGGACCAAAAATCACCGAATTTAATGAGTCAAATTGAAAAATTTGATTACAATTTATTAAAAAAAAAAAACACTCACGGGTCTCTGACTTGAAGGCCCTTGATGGCCTCTTTCGTTGGTGGAATGGACCAGTTGCGGTAGGTAATGGCCATCCTGGCTGCCCAGTCGTGCTGTAGCCACGCGTAGTGGAAGGGGTCGTGGAAGGAATAGGGTGGCGGGCCGCTGGTGTAGAGCGTCTGGGGCTCCGGGGGCAGCAGGTAGCCGTCGTAGTGCAGACGCTGCCTCTTGCCGTTGACCAGGGGGCCGTGCGGCGGCGGCGTCTCCGCCTTGATCTGATCCTCGAACTGCAACAATAAGAAAGAAAGGGCGAAATTTAGTTTTGGTGGCGAAAGCGAATTTATAATTATATTTAAAACTCTAATTGTGTGGCCGAAGCTTTTCAAAAGGAATGCAAAAAAGAGCCGAATTCCCTTGGGGCTCCGAATGTAAAAAAGAAAGAGTTTATATTTATTTCACTCTTAATTGCTTCGAATGAGTCGTTTAAACTTTGAGATGAAAAACGGAGGAGAGAATTGGAATGAGTTTCTTTCTTCTTTGAGCGCGCCAGTTCAAAAAGCGCTCATGTTTTTTTGTCTGCGCGTCTCTCCCTTTGAAGTCGAGTGCTGCGACTAAAGCGCGGAGAAAATTATCTCGATGAGTCCAATTTATTTATCCGCGCATTTATTTACTCGACTGGCGCCTTTCGTCACTGCTGCATAATGCGAGAAAAAAAGAGAAGAGTCTTCGCATCGCCCTACATGCACAAAACAAGCGAGCGCCTTTGCTTTCCACGCCGGCGCCCGTTTTTATTGCGCCGCAACTTTCAATTATACCCTGAATTCAACCAAATTTCGCACAGGTCAGCGTATGGGAAAGTAACTTTTTAGCAAATATTTTGAGGAGAATGGACGAAATCATTCAAATGAAAAAAATACTGCACGATTAAAAGCAAAATTATCTTTAAGAACTGGTGTTTGAAGTGACCAAATTTCAGTCATTGTCTCGATAATGTCTAGGATTTTATTTGCTTTTATGTTTAATGAAAGTTCAAAATTAAAAATTCATAGACAGACATTTCTTTTAGTAAGTTTTTTTTTGCAATTTTCAGTCTGAAGAATAGTTTTTTTCCATTATTTCCTTGGCTTCCAAACGATAATTTGGGACTGATTTTTCACCAGGTTTTGTTGTTTCTTAAATTTAAATAGAAAATGTTGATAAAATTCTTTCTTTTTCCATTGCAGGATAAAAAAATTAAAGGATAAATTCAAGAAAATATCAACAAACCCCTTAAACCTTCCAACTTATGCAACCATTGCGACGTATCTGCACAGGGGTTGCATAACTTGCTTCGTACTCCACTTTTTCGGATCATTAATTAATTTCTTTCCTCCTTCGAAGTGAGAGGGATTTGTCGGTGGGTCAGGTGGACATCCTGATTGCCCAACTTTTGAGCGGCTCCGTTATGAACCCTGTCCTGTTTTCAATAACAAATCGGCGAGACGCAGAAAGTTGGTTGTGATTGCGCAAAAGGCGAGCGAGCGAGCGAGCGGCGTGGCAGCCTTGCCAGCGGAGCAAGAAGAGTAGTGCCACTTTTTCGACGCACGTTACGAAATCGACCCTGGAAGTTGGCCTCCAGCAGCAGCAGCTTGTCGAGTAAATTATTCGACTGGGAGGCGTCATCTTCTTATAGAGAAGGAGAAGTTCGTTAGGGAAAGTGCATTTTATGGCTTGGCTGGCTGGTCGGCCGAGAGAGAGGAAATCACGCGATCCGGGCCGGAATCGTTCGAACTGTCTGGCCGGCGTTTGAATTATTATTATGACGCGCGGCCATCATCACCTAGCGCCGAGTGTGGTTTTCTTGGCGGCCCAACTCGATTTACATAATGACAATCGGCCCGGCTGATTTACATCCGAATTCCATCCAATTTGGACGAGCCGAACCATCGATCATCTCGACGCGCCAGCTTTTCGCTCAAGATCATTTGTTATTCTATCAGCTGAGGCAGATAGAACGAGAGGACCTTTTCCGCAAATTGCACTCCAAGCAGCGATATCGGCAAACGCACATTTTTTTTATCATTCTTATTAAATTCCCCGGGCAAAAAAGATCAAAAATATTTCGTCAAAATCCAATTTTAGTTAGTTCAAAATAAGAATCAATTTGAAATATTTTCATGATAATAATAAATAACATAAATTTCTGACTGTATTTTTATTTTTTATTTTTGCCCTAAATTATAGCAGAAATATTATTTTAAATAAATTAAAAATTTTGCCACTTTTTTTTATTTAGCTCCAAAGTCGAAATAGATTTTCAAGTTTATTTTCTACTTTCAAGCCGTCAGATTTTTTTTACAACTGTTTTATTTTCTGTCGGTTCGACGTGCGGCGTCTGGCGTTTTATCTATCATTCTCGAAAAACGAAACTGCCCGCGTTTCTCTCTCTCTCTCGCTCTCTTATTCAAATGCGAGAGAGATGCGCGTATTTTTAGAGATGGCTGGCTGCATTTTTGACCACCAGCGTGTGTTTACGTCTATTTCTCGGCTCCTATTTTTTTTCACTCGGTCGCGGCGGCGATATTTCACATTTTAATTTACACATGCATCTGTCTTACGAAATGAGAGAAATTCCTCATCTCGGTCGCATCAAAGAGTTTTTAATTCTCGCGGCCAGTCCGTATGTTATCTCTTGATATATAATGAAGAAGATGATGATGAAGCTGGCCAGAGAGAAAAGATAATTATGTAGTATGGAATGAGCGAAAGCCGCTGAAGGCGAAATAGCTCTCAAGTCGAGGCGCCGCCGAATATCAACTTTAAACGGAATAAATTAAATTCCGTCCGCAGTTTTTATTTAATTCGTAGATAATTTGCCTGGATTAAAATAGATATTTAATATGTAGAAGAATCTCCCTGTCTATTTTTGGAGAGGTCGTGGGAAGATGTGCATTTTTTTTTTTTTTTTTTAAATTTAGCTCCAAAATTTTATTCTGACAATGGATCTTTGGAAATTTTGTCATTTCTGATTAAGTAAATTAAAACGAAACAATTTATTTTTGTAACTTCATTTTGAAAAAATAAATTCTCACTTAATCTTGACTTTTGCAAGAAATCTAATTGTTATTTATGGATCTTAGCAAATTTTATCGCTCTGATTATATATAAAAAAAATAATATTTAATAAAAACAATTATTTGTTTTAACTTTATTGAAAAAAATGTCGCTTTTCATTAACTTTAGCAAGAAATCTGATTTTTATTTATAGATCTTTGCAAATTTTGTCCTAATGATTAAAAAAAAAGATTGAAACAAAACCATTTTTTATTATTTTAACTAAATATTACAAAAAAATTCGTGTTATTGACTTTTGCAAGAAATCCAATTTATATTTATTTTATGACTGAAACTTTAAGTTTTTTTTTTAGCTATTGTTCCTTGAAAATAAGCGTAGTTAAAAAACAGAAAAATAGAAAATAATTATATCCTAGTAGAATTAAAAAAAAACTTTATTCCTTGATGCAACTTTTTTACTAAACAAAATCTGGCCTTAAATTCGCCACTCGCTGAATAAAAAAGCGACTTTTTTACAAGTCCAGCCATTATATTGCAATTTGTGCAACAAACGACGAGAACAGTCTCGGTGGGCGCTCGGCCGAAAAGAGCAAAGCAGGCTAATTTTAGCCGAGCAAATCCGTCCGCATTGTCCTTTGTGAGAAAAAAAGCATACAATTTCGGCCGACCGAAAGAGAGACGGACGCACTGCTGTGATGTTATTTTTTTTTATTTTGTCAGACGTACGCACAGACGTGACCTCCAGAGTGTGACCGCGAAAGCAGAACAGCAGACTTTTGGTTCCTGTGAGAAGAAGGGGCCCAGGTGATTCACCTGTTAAAACAGCTTCGCGAGCAAACGCGAGAGAGGAGAGGGAGGAGGCGAGAGAGCAGCTAGACACGTCGGTCTCTATCGTCGCTGCCTGGCTTCTTTCTAATGATGCAGTTGTTGTTGTCGAGATTCCTTCACGCCCCGCAAGAACAATAAAAATAATAAAAAAAAACCGAGATGGAAACACTAGAAATCAGCCCGAGCAGAAATAACGAATACGGTGCGGAAATCATCTGCCGCAGATTGTTATTATTATTGCGCGGAATGTGTTGGCGAATGCAATTTTAGCATAATTTACGCATACTTGAGATGGAAATCTCTTGGAATTCCTCATGTTTGTAAATTAAATTCCAAGGAAAACACAGTTTTTTTCAGTAATGAGTTGAATATTAAATTTTCTGGTAGGAAATAAACTTGAGAGACAAAAAAATTAATTCTAGTAAAAATGATTTAATAATAATAAAAATGAGATTATTAAACAAAATTAAAAATACTAGTTTAGTCATGGATTCAGTGTTTTAAAAATTAGTAATAATTTCTTATATTGTAAAATTATTAATATTTTTTCCAGACTTTTTCGAAAATTTAGTTGCAATAAACTTTATTTCAATTTAATTGTTAAATTTATGATTTATTTAAATAAATATTTAATTTATCACATTTGCAACATTTCAAATAATAATTATTGAAGCTTTCCAGCTTTGAAAATTGCTTGAATTTACATTTTATTATATAATTTTCAATTCTTTTTTCAGGTTTTTACACTAAAGAAGTGCCTAAAAATAAACTTCTCTCCTCTCTCATTTACGTTTTCACAACTTTTCACGCAATTTGGCAAGTCACTCGCGGTAAAAATGGCAAAGTGTTGCTCAAGACGTGGCGAACAATCGACCTTGCGTGTAGTAGGAGGTTCGGAGCGCGGCGTGTACGCGCGGCCGCGGCTGGACCAATGTCCGCACGACTAGGTCGTTCACCTCTCTTGCAGCATTACTCGAAGGAGTACGTACAACTCGTCTAACGAACGAGACCGGCCGGCTGGCTCTGTGTGTTTTGGCATGGCCAACTGCTTTTTATTCAATCTCTCTCTCTCTTGCTAGCGCAGGCCGAATCCTGGTTCAAATATTCTTCAATTCACATACAAAGGCGTGCACCGACTTCAAAATGTCTTGTCAGCTAAAAATTGGCCTTTTTATGATAATTTTTTTCTGCATTAATAAATTTATTAAAATTCTTCATTTAAACATCAAAGCATGACTGAAATTTATTTACTTCTTTCTATCATAATTTAAAAAAATTCCCAAATAATTCATGAAATCAACTTTTAGGTTAAAATAAAAATGAAAATTTAGGTTTTTTTTAATTGCATTGAAATTGTGGAAAACATTAAGGAAATATTTCAGAACTTACAAATAATTTTGAATAT